TTTTATCTGACATGAGAATTTCTACACCTGCTCTCTTTTGGTTTCCATTTGCATGGAATATTGTTTTCTATCCTTTCACATTGGATCTGTGTGCGTCTTGGTGGTTTTGATGTGTTTCTTGGAGCCAGCAGAATTGGGTTGTGTCTGTTTATCCATTTAACCAGCCTTTGTCCTTTGAGTGGTTCATTTAGACCATTAATGTTGATTGATAGAACTGATACATGGAATGCTCTTGTGTTCATCATGTTAGGTATTACCTTGTTGCTTTGTTTTCCCCCTTGTGCTATTGTTTTATAAGAGCTGTGAGCTTTAGCTTTTTTGGGTGATTTTTATAGTGGTGGGTATCTATTGTGATGATCCATGTATGATGCAGTTCTGAGTATTTCCTGCAGGACAGGTCTGATCGTGACAAATTCCCTCAGTGTTTGCTTGACTGGAAAAGACTTTCTTTCTCCTTCACTTGTGCAACTTAGTTTTGCAGGATACAAAATTCTAGGCTGGCAGTTGTTCTGTTTATGAAAATTGAAGATGGGGCCCCAATCCCTTTTGTCTTACAAGGTCTCTGCTGAGAAGTCTGCCAGTACCCTGATGGGTTTTCCTATTTAGGTTAGTTGTTGCTTTTATCTTGCTGTTTGTCAAACTTTGTCCTTCACTTTGACTTTGGCCAGGTTCATTACTCTGTGTTTTAGAGGTGTCCTATTTGGTATGAATATTCCTGGTGTTTGATGGCCATCTTGTATCTAGATATCTGAATCTCTGGTGATACCAGAAGTTTTTCTCAATAATTCCTTCGAGTAAATTTCCCATGCTTTAAGCTCTTTCTTCTCCCTCAGGGATACCTATAACTTATATATTTGTTTGCTTTGCATAGTCCTATACCTCTCTAAGTGATTGCTCAGTCTTTTTTATTCCTTTTTCCACCTCTTTGAATGATCGGGTCAGTTCCAAGAGCCTTGTCTCAAGCTCTGAGATTCTTTTTTCTTTTTGGTTTGGTCTCTTGAAGCTTTCTGCTGTGTTAAAATTTCCTAAATGACTCTTTCATTTCTTTAAGTTCTATTATATCCTTCGTTATGTTGTCTAGCTCTTTAGCAACTTTTCTTTGATTTTGTGAAATTTTTTTTTTTTGGTCCTCTTTCTCAGTTCAACTTTCCCTTCAATTCCATTCATCTTATTTGTCTTCATACTCTGAATTCCATTTCTTTCATTTTGGCAATATCCTTATGATTGGAGTCCATTAGTGTAGCTCCATTGTGATCCCTTGGGAGTGTTGAACTATTTTATTTTTTCATGTTGCCTGGTATTTTTGTTGGTTTCTTCTCATCTGCATCCTCTATTCTCAGCTTAGGGTTAACATGTTTGCAGAGCACTTGCCTCCTTTGCTGGGAACTCTCCAGCTTAATTAGAAGAAGGGACGGTCCCTAGATGGCGCTTTATTCCTACTCTGAAATGTTGACCCAGCAAGGGAGGAGTGTGTGCCTTATGAGCCTATAACGTAGCTATTCTCTTTTGTCCAGTTCACCTGTGACTGACACAGTTCAGCTGGTGCTCAATCTTTATGTGGGGTGGTGAATTGTTCCCCAGATCGTTGTAGGAAGTTCAAGTTGGGAGCTATGTGAGACCCTCTCCGTGGAGGGTGGCATTGTAGAGATTGCTCTGCCTGAGCTCTCCTCACAGAGGTGACAGTGGTCGCTGGCTGAGGCTATTTAGGTAGTGGTCTTGGGTGCCAGGGTTGTGGGAATTTGCTGAAATCAGGTCCAGGTATAATGGTAGGTTGAGGCTGAGTGGTCATTTGTGGGATGCTGGACCTTGGGGCAGTTCTGCCAGCACAGTGTCAGTGGAGGGTAATCAGGGGTGGGGTCTTGGATTCCAGGTGCAGTGCCAAAATCTCAGAGGCTGTGTTCTGGGGATGGCAGGAGCTCTGGAGCCCCAGGGCAGAGCCTCAGGCTCTGGGGCGAGAGCCTCAGAGCCAGAACAGGTGTTTGCGGAGGCAGGGCAATGCAAGCACCAGGTAGTTCCACCAACTCGGGGACCATGGATGCCAAGTTGCATGGGCAGAATTTGGTTTCAGCAGGCCAGAGACCACAGAGTTCCCCCTCATCCAGGTCCTGCTGAGGTAGTCACCCAAAACCTCCCAGGTTGAGCCTATGGTGCCTGAGGCAACTCCTCTGCTTATACCTAAGCATTTCTGGGGGAGGGGTGCTTGGCTCCAGTCACAGGGCCTACAAGCTCAAGGGAGCGTCCACTTTGTCTGCTACCTTCCCAGCCTGGTGAGGGTGATGTGAAGGCAACTTCTGAAAAGCTGAGGCCAGTGCCACCTTTGTGCCATGTACTTGAGAGCTCAGGATGCCATCAGCTATAGAAATCTGTAACTAGCAGCCACCAGATCCTTACTGCACCTGTTCTCCAGTGCAATAACTATGCACACTCTAGGCAGCTCCCCAGTCAGTCCAGGCAGAGGTCTGTGGTGGTGGAGGTAGCCCCCGCACGACTCATGCCACAGTGCCTGAGGGGTGAGCATGGCACCCCAGCTCTCTATCCTCCTAATCTTCCCCACATGTAGATGTCTCTCCACAGATCCCTTTGATCTTGTCGAATGAATCACTCCTCACCTCCTCCTTCACTCCGAGTGTCCCACAGTGCTTCTCTGGGGTTTTGTAATGTTCCTTCTGAGAAGAGCTATCTGTAGGTAGGCATCTGCCTGCAACTTATGATGATTTTCTTGAGAGTGGCATGCTCACAGCCTTCTTCTAGTTTGCAGTCTTTTCTTCCTAATTCTCCTCTTTCCTATAGGCTTTTTCTGTAAATTAGAAAACAGCATCCTGTGCAGAGGAGCTGCAAAGGGAATCGGGCTGAAAATTCATCTCTCGTATCCCCCAGTGACCACAGGGCCCAGAGTCTGAAGGCCGTGCGAGCATCCCAGAAAAGAACTCCACTGCTTTCTGCAGCTCCCCAGGGACGCAGCCCTGAAAATAAAATGTCTTCAAGGTCCCCAGTGCTGCAGTTCTTCTTCCTGAAGGAAAGCATCTCTTCACTTTTTCTTGAATCCCAAGGGCTTGCATTGACCTTGGATATCTGTGGAATGACTCAGCCTCTTTCTGATCTGGAACAATGACTGCTTCAGCTTTTACCTCCAGCCGGGGCAGAGGCAATAGACAAGCCACCCAGTGTGATCCAAGGCACAGTGGTGGGAGAAGAGGGCTTATCACTGTCTCTGTTTGGCCTGGATTACTTCTTGGCCTTTTGGCCAAGAGCTGGTGTAGTATCTGAATGGCCTAGAATCCCTCACCTCACCCCACTAGTTATCCCCCAGATAAGACAATGTGGTTGACACAGCCCCTAAGGCTGCCTTTAGTCCTCCTTTGCATTGCCATGACTGGCCCCATCATGTAGGCCTGTGTAGTTGCTCCACATTTGTTTGTTGAATGGACACATACATGTGTGAACAAATGAACACAGTTGTCACTCAGGAGGAAAGATTTCTTAGCAGCCAGTAAATAATCAGCTTGGACTTTTATATCTTACTATCCCAGAGCCCGTCAGCTACCACCAGCAGGTTTAACAAGAAATTTAGGAGAAGGGAAGCTGCCAACAGCAGTACCTGCGATGTGGTGCTGTGAGTGATGGAAGCATCAGAAGCCAATGGTTTGGAGAAGGAGACCCTTTGGAGGGACCCTCTGAGAACTGAGACAGTTGCCCCTCTAGGGCCATGGAGCCCACAGGGAATAGAGAGAGGGAGCCTGCAATGAAGGGATGGGAGAGGCCAACTCAATTGATTGGCCCAGACTGAGTCTCCCTTGACTCTGGTGCTGGACAGACATATTTGGCCTTAAGAAATAGATCAAATAATGTCTCCTTCTCCAGAAATCCCAGTGGGTGCAGAACCTGGTCACTGAGTCTCTAGTCATAGAGCCAGGGTAGCAAATAGCCCCAGAAGCCAGCTCTGTGAGAACCATGATATGCTGGTGTGGCAGAGTTATCCAAGGTCACTGATGTCAGAGGTTAGGAAAGTGGAAGTTCGTCCACCTCCTTCCTTCCCCAGGTTCTCCCTCACACCCAGCCCTGGAGAGGCCGTGGAGAGCACACAGGATCTCGCCACCTTCCCTGGAATCCACCCAGCTTGGAGACCAGTGGTCCATGAACTCCACATACCACTTCCGTGGAGGGAGAATTCACCTTCATGGATGGAAGTGAGGTCTGCACAGCATCTCTGGTGGGGCCAAAGAGCCTCTCCACAAAGGAAATGATTTCCCTGGTCAGCAGCTTTACAGGACGCTTCTGCCTCCCAATCACTCTATTCTCAAGGGTGGCGTGAAGGAAAAATTTCCACTGAACTCTGCGTGTGTGTGTATGAGTGTGTGTCTGTCTGTGTCTGTGTGTGTATGTAGTGGAGGAAAAAGATAAAAGACAGAGAATGTGTTTTTTGTTGTTTGCTTCCCTGGGTGAATATGGCTATATATACATTCCAAGGGAATTCTACATTAGGTCATCTGTAGTGACCATGGGATGTTTCTAGGGAAACTTTTGCTTCATTCTTATTTCATTAAAGACAGAAACTATAAAAACCAATGAAAAATAATCAGTGTTTAAGTTGAGGTTGTAAAGACAATAGTTGTTCAATGTATTGTTTTGTGCATTTCAAAATCACGCTTGCTTTTCCAAATCCAGCCCCATCTTTTATATTTAATTTTCAGAAAGTGTGTCATTCAGATCTGTTATTAAATCACACTCACGAGGTCAATTTTGTGTTATTTATTTATTTTTCGTTTCGTTTTGTTTTTAATTTTTTTTATTTCAGCATATTACGGGGATACAAATGTTTAGGTTACATATAAAGAGCTTCAACCATCTTGTCTCCAATGAGAATGGCCTTTATCAAAAAATCCAAAAACAATAAATGTAAGCATGGATGCGGAGAGATAGGAACACTCATACACTGCTGGTGGGACTGCAAACTAGTACAACCTCTGTGGAAAGTAATACGGAGATACCTCAAAGAGCTACAAGTAGAACTACCATTTGACCTAGCCTTATTTATTTTTAAGGATTGTTCCCACCTTTATCTTAAATGTTTCGTTGCTCAAAGTCCCAGCCTTATACATTATATAATGTTTGAAGGCAGCAACTGCGAAAGCACCGTGTTATACAATCAAATTTTATCATGATTGGTCAATTTAAAGACAGCAAGGCTACAGCAATGGAAAACCAATAATATGACCGATGAGGCATCAGCAGAAAGTCATTTGATAATCACTCTTTTCTGTTTGTTGGTGGTTTTTGTAGATATCCTTTCTGAAAGAAAAGAGATTAATGATATGGTGAATCCTTGTTTTTATTTTATGGGCTCAATATTTCTGAATGTCTTCCAGATATTTCTACTTGCATATCCCACTTTCAACTCAAATTCAAGGTATCTTCCATGATTTCTCAGGCATTAAAGGATAAAGAAATTTTTTAGACTACTGCCTTTCGCCTCATGATGCCTACAGTCAGTGCAGTGAATGTATCATGCCTCATTATCCACAACTTATTGACACTTTGTGGAGCAGATTTTCATGCCATCCTTTCTTATGAATGTAGAATGCCCTGTTTTACATTTTTGCTTGTCAGAACTGTTCAGCTTTTTATGCCCAGCTCAAAGCAAACTGTTCCAAGAAACCATCCTCAAACTCAAAGGCAGAAATGACCTTCCTTCCTACTGCATCTTTTCCTGCAGATGTCTCTCTTTAGAGCATTCACACTGTGCAGGCCTGTGGTTACTAAAGCACAGCCCTCTGCCCAGGTAGGGGCTCACACCTTGTACTCCCTCATGGCTTTAGATGTACCTCAATAAACATTTGCTTAACAAAGACCTTTTCTTTATGGTTAGAGTGGCACAGGGAAGGGCTGTCTGAAGTGTGCAACTGAGAAATCACAGTATCCAGAGTCAAAAGACACAGATTCACCTGCAGCAAAAACCCTGTCCCTGTTTTGTCCACATCAGGGGATTCAAAGCAATTAGTTTAAAATGCGATTTATTTGTATTCTCTTTCAAGAACAAATTTGAGGTGACTTATGACAAAGAATATTGTTGAAATATTGTGAAATGTAGGAACTATCTATCCTGATGTATTATTTTCAGATTATAATTCTACCATGTTACTTTTAACATGGGTCCCCAATGTTTAGGACCCCTTTCCCTCCAATTTAAGTTACTTTCATGTGACCAAGCTGCACAGTTTCTTCATGGCAGAGTCAAGCCCACCATTTGCTGTCCTGCCTTCAAAAGGAGAAGAGTTACTGTGCTTAGAGGAGTAAGCTGTAGTACAAGCCACAAATGGTCACACCTGGGGGAATGTTATTAATAGTAACAGCATGTGCACTGGACCTGGACAAGGGGAGTCATGATGGTTTTCTGGACACTGAGAAATTCTGCAAAGCCTGGTGTGACAGCCAAATCCTCGATTTAAGCTGTTTGTCAGTAGAATACCTCTATCAGCTCTTTCAGGGTAAATCCACCGCAGCGTATACTTTGCTTCCAGTCGTTGGAATTTTTGTAGCCTCCTTTAATTTCAAATCGCCTGGGAGTGAACCACCTTCCATTATCTCTCTTTATACACTTCTCTGAGGTTCCTGTAAGACCAAGACAAGCTGAGCTCCCAACTGTGAAAACACCTAAACTTGGCCTCCCCCCACGTTGGATCTGGATCCACCCACTTTGGGTTCAGGATCAGCAGCAGGAGAGTCTGAATTGTCCTCTCTGACATCAGGGGCCCCACACTCAGGCTGAAAGGCCGGGGAAGAAGGGAACTCCCTGCCATGTGTGTATATTTCTCTGACCTTCAAGCAGTGAGTCTTGTGTGACTCCACCCAGAGAGGACTCTTAGAAGCTTGCTCTTGGTTTCCTCTGGACTTCACCCTACGTGCCTTTTCCCTTTGCTGACTTTGCTTTGCATCCTTTCAGTCTTATAAACCTGAGCTGTGAGTGTGACTTTGTACCAAGTCCTAGCAGAACTCCTAGGAAATCAGACCTGGGGCTGGTCTTGGGGCCCCCAAAGCAGATATCTACTGCTCAATGGTGTGCTATTTGCGTGGGTATTTTCCAGTTGAAAATCCTAGAAGGCCTGGAAACTCACCTTTTTTCAATTTCTCCTTATACAGAGTCCCCTTTATCTCACCACAGGTCACAGGAAGTTCAGGAAGTTGAAAATTCATATTTTTATCTCTGGGAAATCTTGAAACTGCAAGGAAGCGATTTTTTCGTTCCATCTTCCTCTACAACTCGGCAACATCTTTCCCACCCTCTTCAGATCCTTCTTTTATAATTTAAAATGTTTGCAGGTATTTCTACCAGAAATTAATTACACTTCAAGGTCTTTCTTTTATGGCAGATTAGATACCTGTAGATAATGTCATCCTCTGCTCCACCCTCCAAAATGCCACCCGACAGCCTGGGGCGGCAGGATCTGAGCTCTCAAGCTTGGTGGCCACATCCATTGATCCCACAATGACTTTCCCCCTGGTGATTTGAAGGGACATTTCCAGTCCTATTATTGCTTCGAAGTTATGGAGATGGAGAAAAACCTGTCAAATTTTAGTCTTGTCTCCTTATTTTAGGCATCACTTGGGGGAACAGAGAGCAGGATGGCAGCAGGGCAGCAAATGGGGCACCAGGCAGGCTGGTGTCTGTCTCCCCATTTGCCATCTGCTTTGCTTCACTCTCCCTCACCTGAGCTTTCTCTGTTGCTGAAACGGAAGCTCAGAGTGGGGGTTTTAGAAAAAACTACTCACTGCAGGAGCGGGGATGAGCAGAGATTTATTAATGGATGTAATTCTACAGTTAGATAGAAGAAATAAGAACTGGTATGTGATAGATCAGTAGGGGCTGTACAGTTAGTATTGATTGTACATTCCAAAATAGCTAGAGGAGAAAAATTTAAATGTTCCTAGTATAAAGATCAGTATTTTAAGTGATGGATATCCAAATTACCTTGATTCAATTATATGAAAGTATCAAATTATCACATGCACCCCCAAAACATGTACATCTATTATGTATCACTCAATGACTCAATAAAAAAGTTGCTCAGGGAGGCCAGCACACCATGTGAATGGGGCACTAGGGGTTGGATTCAGCCGAAGCAGGTATCGAAGGTCTTAAAATGAACTTGTGGCCAAGTTTGTGGCTCCCATACTGCCTGCCCCTAAGGCAGTTAAGAAAATTGATTTTTTGCTCAGAGCAAAGAATATAAAATAAAAATCTGCTGGTTAACTATTAAAAGTGTTTTGATCACTTCTTTATACCTCTTCTTCTGCCTCTTCTGCTGCTTCTTCTTTTCAAAGGTCCGGGGATGGCAGCTTTTCTCTCTGAGAAAGTAGAAAAATAACAAGAACATCTCTTGTTTATGACATTGCATCACAAGTAGTAGTGTTTTATAAAAACACCATTCAATTGTAACTTTTCAGGGAATTTGTAGAAATTAAGTCCCAAGTCTAAGAGATGTAGAGTTAAAGGTCGCACAAAGGATTGACTTTAAAAATATCTCGGAAGAATGTAGTATGTGATATATTAATATGTGTTGGTTCAGTGTGTCCAAAAAAGAGTGAGTCATTCCAGATGCATGTTTAGGTCTGTGTTCTTCAAATGTACATGTATAGAAAAATTATGGAAAATTATACCCCAACGTTTACAGGAAACATAAGTTCAAATCAGAATAAAAAGCAACATAAAATATCAGCATTTTGAAAAAGATAAATTGTTAGTTTAAAAGGCATTTATTTTATCTCATGAAAGATATAGAAAATAATGATAATAAACCTTAACATTAAAAAATAGTTCATTTGTCACATAAAAATCAAGTAAATTTTTATTTGTTCTTATTTCTTTTTCCACTGTGTTCTTCCAAAGCAGAATTGTTTCCAGCATCCATGATATCTAGAAAGTGACAGGTGGCGGTAAGAGAACTGTAATTTATAAATAAAAGTTACAAATCTTATGACAATTCACACTGTGTGAAAGGCTGGAGTTTACAATGATGTTCTGAGTATCATTTCTCTGTCTTCCTTCTAAAGGAAATAAACAGGTACTGAATTGACATCTAAGGTCTTCCTTTAATTCTCTAAGACTTTGGAAAAGTTCTTAATTACTTACATGCACCAATTTCCTCATTTACAAAACAGGGAGAGCAACAGTTATTCTGTGCAGGTTTTCAATATTTTGTGAAGATTAAATAAGTTAATGGAAAATCACCATATAAATCCATAACATGCTGGAGGACATCCTTCAAAACTATGCATTTTTAGTTTAAGAGTTGATATCTGAGGTCTTTTTCCTGCCAGGTAACAGGACCATTTGTCTTTTTAGGCCATTCCAAGGTGTGAAAAAGTGACACTATTATCTTCTAATGGAAGAACATGGCTTTCTTTGTTCTATGAACAAGGGTGAAAGTCACTGTATAAATCCAACACTTTAGTATTGATATGCTAATAGAGTAAATGAGATACCATTTTTACTCCTGTATTTCTACATCATTCATACACAACCACGAGAGCCCATCCTGTTAAACATGACTCTATAATGATCTCCTGCCTCCCTGAAGTTCCCAGAAGGATCAGGCCAACCAAATGCAGAGAACAGGACTCTGGCCTGGACCAGGCCTGTTCTTCGTCGCAGTGTGTTCACAGTCAATTGTGCAGGGAATGGGAGTTCTGTTTCAGACTTTCAAACTTCTGATGCTTGGGGTCTGTGGGCCCACTTCCTGTTGGAAGTCAGGGGCTGCATCATGTTCTTCTTGAACTCTGATCACCTGTCACAGCCCTCCCTAGTGTCTGTGGTATCCGCTCAGCCATGTCCATCCCAAGACCCTTGGGCAGTCTTACCCATCATGTCAGGTGTTTGGCTAGTTTGTACTGTTGCTTCTTGAGTTCGTGGCACACCTTTTGAAAAACACGTGACACAAGAACACTTCTCCTTTTCAGGTATTTGTAGCTCTGAATACTAAATTGTGATTTGTAAGTAGTTTCATTTTTGCCCTACCCCCTCCAAACATTAGTGACTACCCACTGCTACCTTAAAGCATGGATACCTCTGAAATCTCTTTCTCTTTTCTTGTTCATCACTGTATTTGTCCCTTCCTTTCATGAATGTCCCCAAGAATTTCAACTTGAAAGAAAGGGTGAATTAACAGTGTGTTTCACTGGTGGAGAACACTGGAGAAACAGGCTGGTTTTAGGGGAAAAGATGATGTGCTCAGCTTTGGAGGAGTTCAGTTTGAAGTTTGTAGGTCTTGAGAGACATCAAATTGGAGAAGGCTATGGCCTTCAGGACCTTGGACAGAGGCTTTTGCCACTTGGATGAATGAGCTTAGAAGACAGGGCTGGCTGGAGATATATTTTTAGGAATCATCAGGTTGGGGGTGGTGACCGAAGTGATAGAAATGTATGAAATGCCTCAGCAAGGACTTTTGTAATCTGGGTGAGTTACAGGGGCCACTTTGATACCTGGGGACAACTTACTCTGAAAACTCACTGCTACCGAGAAACATGCCTGGTGCCAAAGTTGCTTTTGTCTCATCATCATCTCAGACCCCAACAATTTCTCTCTCTCTCTCCTCTCTCTCTTTTACACTGTCCCTTCTCTCCTCCATTTTTCTCTCATCTTTTAACTCTTTGTCTACATAGTTCTCATCGTGCCTCATGTTTCACACCTCTCCATTCATAACCCCCTGCATTTATCTCATTTCACCTACTTTCCATTGTATATCTCTAGATCTAGCTTTATTATTGAGGGGATACTGTTTCTATCATCACTTCCCTTTCTGTTCTCTCTCAATATTATGGTGATCTTTTGGTTGGTCTTATAAATTCAACGGTTATCTTTATCTGTATTTTCTTTCCTTTTCTTTCTTTCTTTCTTTCCTTCTTTCTTTCTTTCTTTCCTTTTTCTTTGAGACTGGGTCTAGCTCTGTTGTCCAGGCTAGAGTGCAGTGGAATGATCATAGCTCACTGCCACCTTGAACTTCTAGGCTCAAGCAATCCTCCTGCTTCAGCCTGCCAAGAGGCTGGGACTACAGGTGCAGTCATCATGCTTGGTTAACTTTAAAATTTTTTTTTTTTTTTGTAGACAGGGCCTTACTCTGTTTCCCTGGGTGGTGTCCATATTTTCTCCACCTGTATTCAGCTTAATCTCACAGACTACATTCATCATCACCAAATGCCTGCTCTTTTGACACTGACCACACAGCCAGCTCTATTACCTTTGCCAGTTGCCTATGAGCTTTCTACATTGCAAGCCTGTCAATCAGTCTTCAACTTTATTTCCATGCTTCTGGTATAACTTCTGAGAGGTATATTGAAAATCATCCCTCTTCCCCAACAAAACTCCTTACCAAGTGATATATTTAGATTCTATGTCCACTCAGAAAAACTTGAAGCTTATTCTGATGTCTTTTCATTTGTTGACCCAAGCCTATTTTTTTCCATTCTTTCTCTTTATATGATCCACTCAGTGTCTCCTTCCTTCACTGAGAAGCCCAACTCTTCTTTCTTTTTTGCCTGACTCAAACCTGCTGAAAACAGTCAGAGCCTGTGCAGAAATCTTTGTCTGTGGTGCCTATGTGTGTATTTGTGTCTGTAAATGTTTTTGGGGAGAGGTAAGGAAAAGAAGAAAGAGCTTTTCCTCCATGCATGTAGGAAAACAAAGATACATGGTAACTAATATAATAATTGTCTTCTCCATCACAGCCTAATGAGCTGTCCTCCCTGGGTGGTCTCAACTCCTCTGGATCTGTATTGCTCATCCCCACACAGACATTTCCCAACTCTGGCAGAGACTGCAGGAGCCACAGGGATCCAGTGGGTCCCAGGAAATCTATGGGAGTCCAGAGCCCAGTCATTCTAGGATGACTGCCTCCCGGAGAGAGGCTCAGAGACTACCGGTGTGCAGTCCTTCCTCCACCTAGTCCTTCATTCTCCCCTTTCCTTCCCCTACCTGCAGCTGCCAAGAGAGACAATTTACCCACCACCCAGAGGCATCCACAGGAAATGGAGGTAGGACCTTTCCTTTTGGGGCCCGCAGTGCACTGAGGAGTGCTCAGACTGTGAACTTCCTACTTGCCAGCCCTTCCTGGTGCTACTTGCCCGGTGATTCTAGCAGAGCAGTGTAAACCCTGAGGCAGAGGGACATTGGTGCAGCTTGGGCATTATGTGGGTGACTTGGGACCAACATTTTTCTCCTTGGCATGGTCAGGGATTGATCTACAGGGCCAGGGGAACAGGCCTGCAGGCCAAATCCTGTACACCTGGCTCTCGATTGCTTTTCCTGGGGGGACTCAAGGGATATTTGTGGACTAGTCTACTGAGGTGTGTGTACTTTCAGGGGCAGATCAGAGTGGGTTCTAGCTACAGCATGCTCGAGGGGCACCCTGCGTCTGAAGGGAGGGCCATGCTCCCAGCTCAGGCTAGGATCCTGGGTAGAGAAACTCCTGGCCCACATCACAGTCCTAGGGGAGCTCAGCTGGCTTGAGATCCTGCATGTTGGCAGAGGACTGGGAGAAACCATGAAATAGGGGTGGGTGGAAAGGAGCAAGGCCTGTTCCAGACTGCCAGACTGTGGGTCTCAGACAGCCCCACCTCCACACGCATACTTTATGGTTAAGTGGGGCAACTTCAGCTCCTTCCTGGCAGCTTTATCCAAATGCAGTGAACAGAATTTTTATGCCTGCTAAAAGCATTTGTTCAGCTGGAGGGCAGGCTCACCCAGACCAGCTCCATCCAGCCTCCGTCCCCCACGGACCCCTGCTGAGGTGGAAAAAAAGGAAACACCTGGAAGTCCCAGGGGTCCACTCACCACATGGGGCACTAGAGTGCTTCCCTAGAGGAAGTAGAGATGTTCACAGGACCCAAAAACAACATTGCAGTTTGCTCTACCTGGCAAGCACCACAAACTGAGAGGGAGGTCAATCTGCACACCCTTTTACTGCATTTACTAACTCATCATACAGGGTGTAGTCTATTCTCACCTACAAGCACTACCACCTACTGGCTCAGAGACTAAACTGGGCATGTCATTATCTAAAGGAAAATCCAAAGGTAAGATGCAAAAGCTGCTCCAGATGGGAACAAATCAGTGAAAGAACCCCAGAAGTATGAAGAATCAAACTGAAAAGACATCCCCAAAAGAGAGCACCAGCTCTCTAGCAATGGATACCAACCAAAATGAGAACACTGAAATGACAGATGAAGAATTTCAATCATGGATTATAAGGAAACTCAATAAAATGCAAGAGAAAATGGATAGCTAACACAAAGACACCACACACATACAAAAAAAACAAGAAATGAATGAAAAATTCACTAAGGAAATTGGA